TAGAAACACGTGTAAATGATAAACTATGATCCGTTTCACCCCTACAAGCGAGTGAACAACGCGAATCAAGGAAGGGATTTTATATCACTATTCAAGATAGCTGGCCGGGCAGGGCAGTGATACATTTTGGTAGCCCGACTGGAAAACACAATAGCCCCGGGATGTCGGGCTAGCGATTTTGAGAGCCCTGGACATTGTTCTGTTTTTTGTTATAAGTCGGACTCAGAAATGACAAGGCGGCAGCTTCCCACAATACAAAGTCCATGGAGAGCGTTGGATTGTTTTCCCCCCCGGTGGATGTGGTTTTCAGATTATGACGCTCTGTCTATAGCACACCTCGATACCATAGTAAAAATATAACTTTATGGTTTCTACGTTTCTGTATGAAAAACAGTAGTCTAAAAACATTTAGTTTAAATGCACAAATGCTATAGCTTAATCACAAAAAATACTGTAATTATATATAGGGATGTAACGATTAACCACGAGCTGGTTGAAAATTGATTAAAATATGTGACGATTCAAATCGGTTGAAATGCTAAACAAATCGAATTCGAAGGCTGCATACGTCATCGAGGCTGTCTAGACTTGTGCCGGTATTCGGTAATGCGATATATCATGGTAATGAGTATGCACGATATTGTTATCGTGGGCACTTTTTGCGTCGCCGTAAACAACCATCGTTACTTTCCAAATTTAAAAATAATTTTCCTTCATTTAAGCAGTGTGAGAGCGCAGCGATGCTGTAAATGTGTTGGCATAGCAACGTGATACTTCCGGTTTCCTTTTCCGCCCGTCCTACGAAGGCTGTCTCGTTTAATTCTAGGTTGAGGACACTTCGTATACGCATCCTACAGAGGTTATATATTCTCTATTATAGATCAGTGGTTCATAAGCGCAGTGCTGCTTTGTTTACAGTGGTAACCCAGGAAACACTGTATCATTGCTGTTCATAAACGCCACCTGCTGGCAGAGAGTGAATCTGCGTCTCATTCAGCTCGGCTGCTGTTTCCTTCAGATGCGTAGGTTGAGGACACTTCGTATACGCATCCTACAGAGGTTATATATTCTCTATTATAGATCAGTGGTTCATAAGCGCAGTGCTGCTTTGTTTACAGTGGTAACCCAGGAAACACTGTATCATTGCTGTTCATAAACGCCACCTGCTGGCAGAGAGTGAATCTGCGTCTCATTCAGCTCGGCTGCTGTTTACTTCAGATGTGTTTTATGTAGTATAGTTTCACAAAACTGAAGTCAGACCATTCTGTTTTTGCTTCAAATTTCCAAATTATTTAATCTAATTTAGATTAAAAACTGCTCATGTTGCATGTATGCTGCATCTTTGTTTGGATCATGATTAAAATGCAGTGGTTGCCACTTGATTTTAAATGGAAAGAGCACAGACAAAGCCTTAGTTTGTTTATATGAAGAGATTTCTTTTATTTGTGTAACTTGCTTATTTGATTTGGGGTTCGTTTTAAAATTTCAATTTAGTTTTGTTATATTTCAATTTCACAAAGAAACGTGCAGCAATAGCCTAGTAAAAGGACACCTTCTCATTTCCTGTATAATGTCTTCAATCTCGTTTTGTTAAATAAATCTTGAGAAAACGGAATTGTGAAATCAAAATCGTGAATCGAATCGTGAGTTGAGTTATATCCCTAATTATATTCGGTTGCTTCTTTAATACATTTAATACATGTCTACATTAATAATAATAATAATAATAAATAATCAAATTTGATATTAATATCCCATATTTCTAACACAATACCATGGCGCTTTTTCGTTCTGCTTTTGGTGCATAAACATTATATGATAGTTTGATAAAAGTTTGATACATTTATCAAACTTGTTTTATCGAGAAAAATTATATCGCGATAATTATCGTTATTGATTTATCGCCCAGCCCTAATATCAGACATCGCGATGTTGCTGTGTTTGCTAAAATGCCACATAATGTTCTCTGCTAATTCTGCGAGTGTTTCCTCTCGCAGCGGCGCTCCTCGTAATGATGGCAGACACACGGGCCGATCCCGCCGCGCAGTCGGAGCTGATGGATGAGGACGAGCCCTTCTTCAGTAACCTGGACCTCTTCCTCTTCTCGCTCATCGCTGGCCTGCTCGTCTACTGGATCATTTTCCGCAAAAAAGCCGAGCCCATCCCGGAGTTCAAAAAACTAGAGTCTACGTAAGTACCTCCAAACCGCTCCTGTATGGTTGAGAGAATGTTAGAATGTAAAACTGCAAACATATTCACCTTTTAGCTTTTTTAATTGTGTAATCTGTGTGAATCAAACTGTCCAGAAAATGCTGGGTCATATTTCACCCCAAAATTGTAAGATTTTATGTTTTATAATATTTTTATAAAGGTAATGCAGCTGTTTTTTTGTGTGTGTGTAAATTGACTGCAGTGAGAATTTTAATATAAATTGTGTAGTGTTAGCATACACCATGATATGTGTTGTTATGCCAAATAATTTATGCTGAAAAAACAGTGTTCATACAGTATCATTTTTTTAATTATAACTTTTAATTGCTGTCACTCTCACAATAATAATAATAATATAATTTTTTATTTTTTTTGCCCACCATGAAATAAATGTCATGAAATTTCTACTTGGAAGTTTGGTGTTACATTTATGAGAAGTTTAGAAGAAATCTGTTTATTTTTTCTAGTGCTGTCAAATGATTAATCGCAATTAATCGCATCCAAAATAAAAGTTGTTGTGTGCATAATATATGTGTGTGTGCTGTGTATATCTATTATGTATATATAAAGACACACACATGTATGTATATATTTAATCAAACATGTTATGTTTATATATTAAATATTTTTATATATAATATAAATTATATGAATATAAATACATACATGCAAATTCATGTAAATATTTAAAAAAATATATATACTATGTGTGCGTCTTTTATATATACATAATAAGTACACACACATTTGTGACCCTGGACCACAAAACTTTAAATTGAGATTTATACATCATCTGAAAGCTGAATAAATAAGCTTTCCATTGATGTATGGTTTGTTAGGATATGACAATATACAACTATTTGAAAATCTGGAATCTGAGGGTGCAAAAAAATCAAAATACTGAGAAAATCTTCTTTAAAGTTGTCCAAATGAAGTTCTTTGCTATGCATATGACTAATCAAAAATTAAGTTTTGATAAAATTACGGTAGGAAATTTACAAAATATCTTCATGGAACATGATATTTACTTAATATCCTAATGATTTTTGGAAAATAATTTTGACCCATACAATGTATTGTTAGCTATTGCTACAAATATACCTGCGCTACTTAAGACTGGTTTTGTGCTCCAGGGTCACATATGTTATATAAACAAAAACGTTTATTTTGGATGCGATTAATCGCGATTAATCGTTGCCCAGCACAATTTTTTTCTGAA